CCCCCAACAGCTCCGCCGACAAGTCCGGCACCATGTAGGAAGCGCGGCCGGCGGGCGAGGCCGCCCTGGGGCTTTCGAGAGCGGAAAGCGCAGCTCTCCAAAATCCCACCCGGCACAACGGCAAGTCGAAATTGTGCTCAGAAGGAAACGCTCTGGGAGGAAAACCACGGCCTCGCCTGCGGCCGGGGGATGTGGTTATACCTGCATCTATATGTACGCGTCCACGTGGAAACATTTACCAACACGGCAGTTGAACTGGGTGGCGGAGTGAGATGGCAGTTCTGCGTCTCGTCACTGGAGAATACACCTTATATGTAGAAGTATAAAAAATAATAGTGTACAGAGTTCAGTAACTTTTTTTTCCGAGTAGATTTACCTCAGAAACTGGCTCTGAAACGTCCTCTCTAGCGATGTTTGGTTGATGTTGTTGTTTTCAGGATATTTGTGCGTGTGCGCGCGTGAGTGTGGGGGTACATAGCGACTGCGCCTCGAGCAGTACAGGGCCCGTCCTGGAGTTTATATTCTGCACCTGTTGGTATAAAAAAAAAAAAATAATAATAATAAAATAAAATAAAGGGAGCATGCATTGGCTTCTGTTCAATGCTTGACCCGCAGAGGGCAGGTTGGAGTTGGTAAGTTGAGAGCTGGCGTTGCTGCGCGGCGGCGCCGGGGCAAGTAAGCTGCGGCGTCCCTTCCGCGTGCGCGGGCGGAGGGAGCCCCCCAAACCCTGGTTTTCCTGAAGCTTTCAGAACCTGCCAGCACCAGTGAGAAAGCTGTGGTAAACCGTAAATAGGCCGACTTACACAGTTTGGAGAGATTTCCTTTCCCTTTCCCCGTTTTAACTGATGAGATCTCTGCCGATGGGACTAAGCAGGCGAGGAGGCTGTGGTGCAACGCCGTTCCTGTCTTTAAAGCTGCACAGCAGTACATGAGGGTCTTGATTCAGATTGTGTCTTCTTGCATGAAAAGCATGAGCCATATTTGACCGTGTCAGATGCATAACTGGTCTGATGGGGTGATATTTTGCACTTTCTGTACTGTACTATATATTACAACAGTTTGAGTTTATGCAAAAGAAAATACCTTTTGTTTTTCCTCTGAACGTTTAACCCAGAGAAAAAAAAAAGCAGCAAGACCTGGGGGTTGCGTGGTCGGGGCTGGTCGAGTCTCCTCGGCAGCCGCCGAACGCAAGG